TAAACCAGTTTTATTAAGTAAAGACCTGTGTCGTTAAAACTTCAGTTGGAACGAAGTTACGGAAAGTTAATTAACAAACGTAGACGTAACAATACTTTAGATATATTCATTGTATTAAATATTGAAATTATTTACCTCCATAGCTACAGGTAGTGGTAAGCCATAAAAACAGAGATAACCAACATTAGAAATCACACCAAAGAGAGCAATCGTAGCTTCCAGGCTGTGTTGTATAGCCCAGTAAGTTCCAGATATTTCAAAACTGAAGATAAACAAATAAAACATACCACAAAAATATAATTTATATTAAGTTAACTCTATTCCTCTTCTACTCCCTATAAAATATTTGATTTGCTGTCCTCAGTAAAAATTATTTGACTATCCAACATGTAAGTATAAGTACAGTTTACGTTTATAACTTTATATGCAATAGGTTGAATCACTTTTATGTAATATATAATTTGGGTAGGATAAGCATGCTGTGACTGTAGTTTTTCAGTGAGGTTGTTGTTACTGTTCTATGTTTTTTGGTGCAAAGTTGCATTGGCCTTTTGTGTCAAAAATATTCGTTTTAAATAAATGACAGTCAAATATCACTATAAAAAACAAATTCGAGAAAGAATAATTTTTGTTACGATAAAACTATTAAGCAACATTAAAAAGACTTAGGGCTCGTATAAAACAATAAACTATACCCAATCTGGATCGCGTCACAGTTTCTAATAACACTACCCAATTTCAAAGATATAAGGCGAGTTAAAACATGTCTAAAATAATGCTTTAAGTAGCAAAATGAAGGTAAAATGTGGCCAGTTGTGACACAGTGACAGTTCACTCCTTAAGAAAAAAAAAGATGAGTCTGTTTTGATGATTCTTTGCAGGAGGACTTTCTCCTTCTAACTACTATGAAAACTAAATGGCCAATTAATGATGGTAGGTTTGGTTCAGAACAGCTTATTGAGCCATTCATCACCCACAGTTTCCTACAAAGTGGTATGAGGCATTGTACTAATGATAGAATTGTAATCCAAAGATCAAATAGGCAAAGGTCCAGTGTGATCCATGGAGTATGATTTGATTGTAATAATAACAAACTCGTTCTCTTGAATACCTACATGACCAGTAAAACAAACAAAGATCAAATAGGCAAAGGTCCAGTGTGATCCATGGAGTATGATTTGATTGTAATAATAACAAACTCGTTCTCTTGAATACCTACATGACCAGTAAAACAAACAAAGATCAAATAGGCAAAGGTCCAGTGTGATCCATGGAGTATGATTTGATTGTAATAATAACAAACTCGTTCTCTTGAATACAGATAATAAACATCGTATGTTCAGATAATTTCCTCTGGTTAATACATTTATAAACAGTTATTCTATAATTATTTTAACACATTAAAACACTCAGCAGTGAAACTTTGCTTTTATAATGCTTTTTTACCACTTATTTTGCATTTCTCGAAGAGATGGGATTTAGTGGCTAAACATTTATCACACAAATACTAAAAACATAAAATTCATCTAGAAATTTTAGTGTCAGATATTGGCTAGTATTCAAATATTGTCCTACCTGAAAATAACAGTACCAATTACGATAGTAGGCTTTTGTCCAATCCGCTCAGCTAGCCAAACTCCGATGAATATTAATGCCACTATAGATTCATTTGTGTAGATAATCCAGGAAGTCTTTTCATATGTTGTGCTATTGTCAACTCTTTTTTCTGAGATAAGATGTCAAATAAGGAGTGATATTTCCAAACAGATAAGGTGTCCCAAGACCAACATACATCAGAAAACATCCAGAAACTGCTATAAATGGACGAGCTTTCATTTCTAGAAACTATCAAGGAAACGGTTGACGGTATCCTAAAGTTCAAACGATGATCTGGAAATAATGAATTATGTAATTAAAAACCCTGTATTTATTAGACTAAATTCACATTACAATCGAAAACTTGATGTAATTCAACAACAAAAGCACAATTGTGATGATCTGGAAATATTAAATTACATAATTATTGTGTATGTAGCAGAACTACTGAATATGTTTTAAAATAAAATACAAATAATTATTTCACAACTAGCCTTTTTAAATGTACCATAGTGGACCATTTGACACACCAGACCTGAATTGTGCTTCACCGATACGAAGTAAAAATAGCACTATTGGAATAAAATACTTGGGTAAAGAAATGATTTTATCATGCTGTAATTTTTCTTAATCTAAAAGAAGCCCCCTGCAGCTCAGCGGTAAGTCTGAGGATATTACGCTAAAAATCAAGTTTCGATGCCCGAAGTGACCAGAGCACAAATAGCACATCGTGTAGCTTTATACTGAACAAGACGAAACCTGTAAGGATAATCAACTTATCCTGAAAGGCTGGGGTGTCCCGACTCCCAGTTTTGGGGAGGGATGATACGGATTGGACGTCATATAGACGGTGTCTTTTCACTGGCATGACCCACCAGTTATTTCTGCTTCAGAAAAAAAATGCCAGTTGTGAAATTATTTACTATTTTTTTTTTAGAACGTGTCGCATAATTCTGACACACACTCAAAAGGGTGATTTTCTCTCTATTCTAATCTATTGAGTTTTCACAGGTTCCGAATTCGGAGAGACACTTTTTATTGTTATTTGAAGATTTGTAGAGCAAAGCCGCGAAAGCTATATTCGTGAAACTATTTGTTTCAGAGCAAAGTTATGTTGAGCTATCTGCTATGTCCACTGCAGGGAATTAAACCCCGAATTTTAGCTTTATAAATCTGTAAATTTACCGCTGCCTCGCCGGGGGACCTTATGAAACTACTTTTTGTATTTCATAATTTTTGTATTGAAATCAGGCCATAAATATTTTCAGCACAAAAGACTTCATCAAAATTCAACATTTTAGCTGTGCGTCTACGTTTAGAATACAACATTTAATATTCACCTTATTGGTTTGCAAAATAAAGAATTTTGTGAGGTATCTTGAGACACCAATTTAACTTATAAGTTTCAGAATTTCTACTTTGCTATCGTAGTTATATTTCAAAACTTATAGCAGTTAATATATTTTAACAGTACACAAGCTGTCTTGTGAAGTTAAAAGTGACACAACTGGGATTCAACTCCAATATTCATTAATTCTGAATTATTTAACGTTTTCTTATCATATCTTGTTTACTTAAAAACAAGAAACTCCATTGATTTAAAAACTTCAGTGCTTAATAGTTGATTTTGCCACTCCATTAGCTTGAGAATGTTCTATAACAATTATCACTACTGTCTAAAGTCTCTGTGGTTCAGAAATTGATCATCATCTGCCACTTCTAGTACCACTAGAGGACGGATTTTGAACGATGTTTCGGCTCCAATCTGAGTTCTTTTTCCAAAGTTCTTAGTGACGTATTTATGGAGAACCTAGAAACAAAACTCTCGCCTCTCCAAACTTCAAGTGCACATTACAGAAGATAGGTAGATAATACTTCACTATCTGAAAAATGTTCTGGTTATTAAACACAAACATCATGCTGTCTACTAACACAAAACATCCAGTTCACAGTACAGAAATAATTTAATGACCTACTTCCTTTCCTGGATGTTCTGGTTATTAGACACAAACATCATGCTGTCTACTAACACAAAACATCCAGTTCACATTACAGAAATAATTTAATGACCCACTTCCTTTCCTAGATGTTCTGGTTATTAGACACAAACATCACGCTGTCTACTAACACAAAACATCCAGTTCACAGTACAGAAATAATTTAATGACCCACTTCCTTTCCTAGATGTTCTGGTTATTAGACACGAACATCATGCTGTTCATCAGTTCATAGATGCCTTGGACAGTCCACAACTTAAGATACAAGTGAAGCAAGCACACCACTCTACCATGCAGGATGCAATGGCGAGAGCTCTCGAATTTGAATCCTGCGTTAAGTCCAGCACAGAGGTACCGAGGTTGGTACAGTCATCTGGATTCAAGGCCAGAAAAGGTCAGCTTTCAGAGAGGTGTGAGGGACTTTGCTGGCATTGTAATAAACCTGGGCACAAGAGAGCTCAATGTTGGCAACTTCAACACAGGGGAAGTGCCACAGCAGGAAAGGCTGGTATCCAGAAAGGTTGTTGGAACTGTGGGGAGCAAGGACATCTGAGGAGCCAGTGTAAGAAAAATACCACCAATAAGTCAGCTTCGGGAAACCAGTAGTGGTTGGTGTTGAGCGACGCCCATCAACCCCCATCTTGAAAGTCCCAACAGCTAGGTGTAAAATGCCAAGCACACACAGTGTCTATGTGACAAGAAAGCTAGATGGCCAAAGGTGCAACTTTGTCATAGACTCTGTGTCTCAGCAAACCCTTGTGAGCATCAAGGTGTTAAATCACGAAGGAGTACCAGAAGCCATATAGAAGCTTTGTGGTGTGACAGGACATTCTACAAGATTGTGGGGACCATTGTGGGTGACTATTGAGCTCATGGGCATAAAGGACAGCCAGAATGTATACTTGACTGACATGGAAGACGAATGCGTATTAGGATTGGACTATCTACTACCGAGGAAGTTTGAAATCGATTTTGATAAAATGACGTTTGGGAACAACAAAGGCCAAGTTCCGGTAACTGTTAAAAGAGAGGTTTAACTAATTAGGTGCCATCAAGGTGAAGTCAAAGTGACTGAAGAAGTTGATGATGGTGAAGTGGAACGAAATATAGATATCAGGGCAGAACAGGAGAGGGACCAGGATTTGAGGCCAATGATTGATTTTCTAAAAGCGAGTGTTGTGCGT